ATTTTGGGTGCCGAATGGCAATAGCAGGCGTGATTGGATTAGGTGTGATATGCAGGCGGGTGGAGATATCGGCATTGGTGTGATATACTGAGGCATGGAGATATCAGCATTGGTAATGAGACAGGAAACCTAGGTCTCAGTTTGATACAGGAGGATTCAGTCCAGGAGGATGCAAAGAATAAATGGAAGGAAGTCTGAAGAAGTGAGCAGTGACTCACAAAAGCACATACCCTACCACAATTGTGTTTGTCTTTAAAGGTGCTACTGGACTCTTATTCTTTTTTACCACTATTAGCAACCACAACGTTCAAAAACCAGTGGGGGGACATTTTAACCTTCCAGGACATTCAGCTGCTGACCTAAGAGTAGCAGTTCTCTTACAAAGGAATTTCAAAGGGAGATTAGAAAGAGAGTCTGCTGAATTGCAACTGATCATGAAGCTCAAGACAATGCAGACTCCTGGACTGAACTGAGACCTAGGTTGTTTCTCTCATTATCAATGCCTGTTATTGTCTTTTGGCATCTGAAATCACTTCACTTTCCAAGATATAAGGACAGATGGACTCACATTCCAGCTGCATCTCAAGAAATGAGCAGTGATTCATAAAAGCTCATGCCCAGCCACAAATTTTGTTAGTCATTTAAGTGCTGCTGTACTCTTGCTCCCTTTCACTAATAAGGAATGAAATCTGTGCTGTTAGGTTAGAAATGGAAAGGGGGATCTCTCCAATTGCCATGTGATGGACTCACACACACACACTCTCTCTCTCTCATACGTGGAATAAAACATTTTTTGGACTAAAGCACAAGACTCTTCCCCCCAATATGTGGAATAAAACTTTTTTTTGTCTAAACAATAACTGTCCCCCCTCCATACCTGGAATAAAACATGTTCTGGTCTAAACACAGGACTTTTCCCCCCCATACCTGGAATAAAACATTTTTCGTCTAAACATAGGGCGTTTTCTCTCTCTCTCTCTCTGGCATGTTCCCTCTAGCTGGCTGGCTCCCTCTAGCTGGCTGGCTCCCTCTCTCTCTGAAGAAAAAGTGTGCTTCTACCTGGAATAAAATGCTGCTGGTCTTCTGAAAAGTCCCATGAGATGCCACTGTTTCTCCTCTCTGCATCTCTCTTCCTCCCCCTCCCTCTCCAGAGGAGGAGGGGGAGGGGGAGGAGCCCTCAGCCAATGGAGGGAAGGCTTTTTTTTTTCTCCTCTGAAGCAGGAACTAGGGAGAGACTGGGGGGAAAGAAGCTGCAACGTTAGAAACAGGAACCAGGAAGCAGCACAGAGTCAGCTGCTCTCAGGCGGGATTGCAGCCCTGCGCAGGCTGGATCCGGCCCACGGGCCACATCTTTGACACCCCCTGCCCTAGAACTTCACTGCAACATTAATCTGGTCAAGAAATCACCTTACGCTATGTCTTGCACATGCCAAAAAAAGAAAAGAAAAGAGAATAAATGCTCTGTCAGATCCAACCCTAGCAGTGCAATCCAGAGCACAGCTACACCCTTCAAAGGCTATCGACTTCAATAGCTTCAGAGGGGTTCAAACTCTGCTAAAGGTTGGCATTGTAAGCAAGTTTGTAGCTTTCACCCTGACAAGTGTGTAGGGTAGACTTCGGCAGAAGGAAAAGGGCTACTGAAAGAGCAAGTGAGGACAGAAGATTTCTTCCAACAAGTGGGTAGTTCCAGTCTACATTCCAAATGGGCGGAACAACGGCACCAAAATTAGTGTCACGCACAGCTGCAAGTTCTCCGACAGCAATACCTCCCCCCATCTGATGCTTCCCCCCCCAAAAAAAAATGTTTATAATGTGGATTGATATGCTAGCCAAAAAATCAGAGGCCACCAAAAACGCAATTTCAATGGAAAGGGAAACGAGCACTCTGTAGGTCTGGAAATGGGGTGGATCGTACTCACTCCACTGACCAAAGTTTATGCATTTATTTATCAAAATCCTTCCACCGCCTTCACCCACCCCATACACACACACACTTTCCTTTTTGGCTCAAATATGAAGCCTTCCTCCAGTCTATGGAGACTTTTCTCCAACTTAAGTGGCTCTTCTGTTGGAGGAAGAGCCACTTAAGTTGGAAGAAAGCTACTTAGAGTAAGCTGGATGCTCATGGATGCTTTCAAAAATGGTGGGGATGAGTCAAGACACTGTTCCCTCACCTGTCGGCATCAACCGTGTTCTGTGGTGCATATTAACTAGTCTGCCATCAACCGGCTTTCAAAATGCTACCCTTCCGAATGCTCTATGCCAAGGTGTCTTCCGCCATCTACCATGGCGGCAGGGGAAGGTATGACCATCTTCGGAGAACCAAGGGCCTTTGGAGAACCAGCAACCAAGCACACGCCCCGTGTCCATAAACCACCTCAAGCAAGCATCCTTGTCAAAATAAGTAACTTCTGTGGACTTATATCTAAATCTGTTTTCAAGCCAATCCAAACTGAGGAACAGAAGGGAGATACAGAACTGTTGTACGTATGGTTGATATAGGGACACCAGCCTCCAGGTGGGGCCTGGGGATCGTCTGGAATTACAGCTCATCTCCAGACTACAGAGATCAGTTCCCCCTGGAGAAAATGGATGCTTTGGAGGGTGGACTCCATGGCATTGTACCCCACTGAGGTCCCTGTCCTCCCCAGGCTCCATCCCCAAATCTCCTGGAATCCCCCAATCTGGATCTGGCAACCCTATGCCCCGATCCCCCACCAGTGGCTTTTGGCCTTGTCTTCAGAGAGACCATTGGGAAAAATCTTTAGGCCAGCCCATAACGAACTAGTATAAATAGTTATATTAGGTCATACTCGGTTATATTTGGATGCAGGGGTCATTTCCTGCAGGAGCGCATGGGAGCGGAGCTCCGGCAGTAAAGAGCACAGGGGGTGGGCATATAGAACAAGCCCCACCCCCTGCTCCCAGCAGTCAAGGGCCACCAGGAGCAAGAAGCAGCCAGGTAAGTTGCAGTGGGTGTTGCCTTCTGACACACTTCCGGTGATGTCAGGGGGTGTGGCATATGCAAATAAGTTATGCTAATAAGTGATGCTAATGAGCTCCTGCACCTCTTTTTTTACGAAATGACCCGTTTGGATGTATTATTGACTAGTTATGAAATGTTATTATTTGTTGGATCTTTGACCGTAATAAACAAATTGTATAAATGTACGTGCTGCATAAAGGTAACCAAGAATGCTATTGGAAGTTTTCAGAGACATCATTTGCAGTTACAGCTACTGCAAACACACCCTCCTCGGATTATAAAGAAACACAATGTCCACCACACGGAGAAGCACACAACTAGCTCCAACTGATATATTTTTAAAAATATATTTCTAACAACTCTCCCCTTACTGATGCTTCCTTTGAGATTTGGGGAGTCATCTCCAAAAATGTCTTGATGGGACACTGGAAATAGTAGCCGGGGGCATATTTGTGGGTTGCCCAAGACGGGGGAAAGACAAAGAAGTCTTACTAGATGTACAAGAACCCCTATGTCAAGCCTGAAGAATCTCAGTCAATGGTGGCTAAACAACAACGTTTAGACTCAGCAAATCTCAAACACAGAAAGGGGGGAGCCTTATGCGTCATTAAAAGCCAAGACCTCTCTCCCGGGCTTACTTGTATGACTTTACAAAACGATAATCCAATATTTAACCATTACTGTTACAGGCTTGGATCCTCTTCCTTCCTTCCACGGCACTGCCCTGCATAGCATTCCTCCAGCACTAGGTGGCGCTACGCATGCAAGACCAGTGTCTCTCAATGAGTAGGAGGAGCCTAGCACCTAGAGAACCCACCTCTGTGATAGCTGAAGTGGAAGCAGAGTGTGAGTGGAAGAAGCGTATAGGATCAGGGCCATAATCCTTGGAACTTCACATGCTTGAATCGGGGACAGCGTTGGAATGAGTGCGCCTGCATGATGTGAATGGATGTGGCCAAACCCTGATGTGGCCCGACACCACAGTGACACACAGCTTTGGCAAAACGACTGGAACATCTCTAAGCAGAAGTCCTCAAAAGACAATTCACATTAAAGGAGCACGCGCCATCCGCCATATTGTTTGGGTTGACTATGTAGATCTCCTGGAGCGATTACGTTCTCCAAACCTCAGAGCAGCCACCGCCACTGTCAGAAAATTACTGTTCTGTGGTATCGCAGGGCTCTTTTTGTAGAAGGAGCTCCTCTGCATATGCCCTAATGTCACCAATCCTCCAAGCGCTTACAGAGCTCTTCTTACAGGGGCTACTGTCAGCTCTTGGAGGATTGGCTACATTAGGGGCGTGTCGCCTAATATGCAAAGGAGTTCCTGCTACAAAAAGAGCCCTGGGAGTAAAAAACAAATAACATCAGGGCCGTTTCCCTTAAAGATACTGGCATCCGACTGTGTGGATGAACCCGCGGGGAACTAAGAATAAGCCAAATTCTGGCGCGCTTTGTGTTTTTTTCAGACGTTTGAAATCACGTGCTGCTAGGGAGACTTAGCAGACCCTTAGAAAACGGAAACAGATCTCTGGTACTGTTAACGCAACATCCATTACAGTTGCAGATTCCCTCTTAAAAAACAAAAACAAAGCAACGATATATTAGCTGTTGTAGATTTTCCTGGCTGCGTGGCCGTGGTCTTGGCATTGTAGGACCTGACACAGAGAGTACTCCATCTTTTCTGTGTTATACCTCTGAGGATGCCAGTCACAGCTGCTGGCGAAACGTCAGGTCCTACAATGCCAAGACCACGGCCATACAGACCGAAAAATCCACAACCGCGAACGAACTCCGGCCGCGAAAGCCTTTGACGATGACAATATATCGTTTAGATAACCGCATCCTTCCCTCCCTAGCAAGAGACACAGGGAAAAATGCAAGCATACGCCGGGAGCCCCCGTCGCGTTAGACGTCATCCTCCCACGGCAGACAATCCACCGTCGTGTTTTCGCTACCGCGACGGCTACAACACAGTTTCATCGCGTGTACGGGATTTCTAGAGTTCACTTACTGTTAGATGCTGGAACAGCCATGCCCTCATGATATTTGTGGCTACTTTGGGAAAGATGCCACGCTTTTTATGCCGCTTTTTGTCCTTATCTGGATCGTCATCATCACCTGTGCTGGGAGAAGCTACACTGTTGTCCAAGCCGTCACCTGCAAATATAGTGAATCAAATTTTTGACTTTTGCGCTACCTTGAGAGACTTTTTTTTTTTAAACTGAGCACGACAGCCTAACTTGAGGGGCGACTATAAAAAAAAATCGACTGGTAATGAACAGTTTAAGTATAGGATTATCTCGGGATTAGTTCATGCTGCACTCTATGGGTAGGAATGACGATGGCGGGTTCGGTTCTGGCTTGAGGTGTATGTGTGTGGGGGGGGGGAAATGCCTTATTTTATTTATTTATTTATTTAATTTCATTTATTCCCCGCCCTCCCCGCATGCGGGCTCAGGGCGGCTTACATAGGCACAGTAGTGCAATAAAATATAACACGATTAAAACAATTTAGGCACCCAAAGTGCGATAAAATTACACAATTAACCACTTAAAACACAATTCAATCCTGCAGGATGCATCGGTAATTAAAATACTCACTCATTATTATATATCACAGTGAGGTCAGAAGAAAGGGGGGGTGCCATAGGCCGAGATGTCCCAGGTGGCTAATCAGCCCACCCCGACGGCACTGCTCTGCAGTACACGATGGTGGTCATAGTGGCGGCGGCGGCTCCTACTCAAAAGCCTGGAGGAAAAGCTCCATCTTGCAGGCCCTGCGGAACTGTAAAAGGTCCCGCAGGGCCCTGATCTCCTCCGGGAGCTCATTCCACCAGGTAGGAGCCGCCACCGAAAAGGACCTGGCCCTTGTGGAAGCAAGCCTGGCCTCTTTAGGTCCCGGGGTCACTAGGCGGTGTTGTGACCCCGACCGAAGTGCTCTTTGGGGGCTGTATGGGGAAAGGTGGTCCCTCAGGTATGCCGGACCCTGGCCATGTAGGGCTTTAAAGGTGAGCACCAGCACTTTGAAGCGAATCCGAAACGCTATAGGCAGCCAGTGCAGCGCTTTCAGTACAGGCTGGATGCGATCCCATTTCGGGACCCCCATTACCAGCCTGGCCGCCGCATTCTGCACCAGCTGCAGTCTCCGAATTTGCAACAGAGGCAGCCCCATGTTATGAATGCATCGACCACATCTCTAAATTTAAATCGGTACATTGAGTTCTGCCTGCTTCCCCCTCACACACACACACACAGGCATAAAAGCAAGGAAGGGTTTGTCTCTTTGAGGTGCAGACAAACAACCACCTCTTCCGTACACAAACTAAGGTTGTGTATTCAGCTTTGTCTGAATTCGGTGTGTTCTCCACCCCCTCCCTGGCCGCTCCCCCGGGGAGACCTCTTATCAGTGTTCCCGTGTAACCCAAAACCACATTCCGGATAACTCAACTCCGTCCAAGGATCCTGGATGTCACCAAAGCCGTGTGTGGCTGTTTCGCTTCTGGCTTCAGGGCGCCCGTAACCTTCCTAGCTGCTCTAACTGGGGCGTGTTTACAACAACCCAATCCAACGATAACTCCCCAAAGGAGTCCAGTGAGGCTCAAAACAGAAGAAGGAGAAGAGATTGGATTGGATTTATACCCCACCCTTCACTCAGAGTCTCAGAGCGACTTACCATCCCCTTTTCCCCTCCCCACAACAGACACCCCGTGAGCAATGCTCCCTCTAAGCTGTGGAGTCTGGCGAGCAAAAATTCTACTTCGTGAGCTACTGGCATTAAAGTGGTGAGCGAGCGATTTGGCCGCTGCATCAATCAGTTTGCTCTGGAGCCATCCTTCCTGAGCGAAGACAAAAATCCGCGAGCCGGAGGCTAAAAAAAACCCCCTGTGAGCTAGCTCACTCCAACTCAGCTTAGAGGGAACACTGCCTGTGAGGGAGGCGGGGCTGAGAGAGCTCTTTCGAGGACTGCTCGTGAGAGAACAGCTCTGAAGGGACTTGTGACTGACCCAAGGTCACACCATAAGAACATAAGATAAGCCAATGTTGGATCAGGCCAAAGGCCCATCTAGTCCAACACTCTGTGTCACACAGTGGCCAGAAATACCAGGTGCCATCAGGAGGTCCAGCAGTGGGGCCAAGACACTAGAAGCCCTCCCACTGTTGCCCACCCCCCAAGCACCAAGAAGACAGAGCATCCCTTGCCCAGACCGAGAGTTCCTATCTATAAGAACATAAGAGAGGCCAATGTTAGATCAGGCCAAAGGCCCATCCAGTCCAACACCCTGTCACACAGTGGCCAGAAATACCAGCGCCATCAGGAGGTCCACCAGTGGGGCCAGGACATTAGAAGCCCTCCCACTGTTGACCCCCCCCCCCAAGCCCAAGATGACAGAGCACCCCTTGCCCCAGAGTCCCTATCTATACCTGCATGTGGAGGAGTGGGGAGTCCAGATTAGAGTCCGCGCTCCTAACCACGACACCAAACCACTACATCAAGCACTGTAGGGGAGGGCCGCTTTCCCCATACCCAACGCCCACTTTTTGGCAAAATTCTTCTTGGGGTAGGGATGCTAGTCTCCAGATGACTTGGAATCTCCCCAGAACTGCAGCTCATCTCCAGACTACAGGCGTCAGCTCCCCTGAAGAAAATGGATGCTTTGGAAGGTGGACTCTATGGCACTGTACCCCACTGAGCTCCTCTGTCCTCCCCAGGCTCCACCCCCAAATCTCCAGGATCTTCCCAACCTGGATCTTGCAACTCTACCCCACATCCCCCACCAGTGGCCAGGGGGGACCTGGCAAACCTAGGGGAACCCCGATAGACCCCCAGTAGACTACAGCGAATGATACTCCTTTGGTGACGGTCTTTAACAGTGTGTCAAATTAAGTAGATATGGAGCTGCGGTGGCTCAAGTGGCTAAGACACTGAACTGCAGGCTGTGGAAGGTCGGTAGTTCAGCAGTTCGAGACCCGAGTGTGCCGCATGACGGAGTGAGCTCCCGTCTCTAGTTCCAGCTCCTGCCAACCCAGCAGTTCGAAAGCAAGAAATTGCAAGTAGATAAATAGGTACCGCTTCAGTGGGAAAGGAACAGCGTTCCATGCGCCTTGGTGTTTAGTCATGCTGGCCAGATGACCACGGAAACGTCTTCGGACAGCGCTGGCTCTTTGGCTTTGAAACGGAGATGAGCACCGCAATCCTAGAGTTGGATTCGACTGGCTTTCGAGCAAGGGAGACCTTTACCGTTACCTTTTACAAATTAAGTAGAGTCTTCCCACAGGAATAAAACAAAAACAGCAAGTAGTTTTGGTTTATCGTGTATTCCTGGTTCCTGCCTATTGTTCATTCCGCAACAAAATATTGCAGAAGAGGGACGGTGGTGGGGAATAACCCCCCCCCCCAAACACAGAAAGCAGGTTAGAGAGCAACCTCGCATAAAGGTTTGTTTCAGCCTTTCATCTCCTGCATACAAACGGGTCACACTGAGACTTCGACAGTCCGAATTTTGATGAGGGTGTAGCATTTAGAAGTAATTAGACAAGCGCCGTCTCCCCTCCCAAGGCAAAGAACAAAAAACAGTTAAGTAAATAATCTCAGTCAAAGGAAGGTGGGGGTTTTGGGGGGTGGTTTTCTGTTTTTCGAAAGAGGCAATTTAACAACACTTTCCTGGGAGTAAACCCCACTGAACAGATCTGAGTAGGATTCTGAGTAGACCTCTGTAGTCTGGCCCTGTTAACCTTTCTCCAAAAGAATGACCCGAAACACATTTTAAAAAAGAAAGAAAAAACCCCTAAACGGGTTTTGTTTAAAAGTGTATTTGTGGCTGCCGTTTTACGTACAGCTCCATATTTAATGGAAGGCCCATCTTGAAGCGTTCGCATGTCTAAAAACAGCTCCTTTTCCAGAAAGAGTTTAGATGTCTTCGCTTGATAAAAAAGGAGTCTTTGAAAGGCTTTTATTCAGAGGAGCAACGCGCCATATAAAATAATGATTCATAAAATAAACATGAGCAAACAACTCGACGGCATTTAAAATTTCCATGAACTAATCCTTTGTATAGTAACGGCGGGGGGGGGGGGGGGGGTGGTGGTGGTGGGGGGGGGGGGAGAGAAGGAGAGAAATATATTAGGCCGTCATTGATTAAAAGTAAAGGGCTTCTAATGACATTGTCTTTCATTACAGCTGTCTGCCTATTGCATTGTTGTTGCTGTGTGTGTGGGGGTGGGGGGGAGATATATACTCTTTACCCGTTTTTAGCCCCCCACACACAGATTATTTTAGCAAGCAATGGTTTTATGCGGGGCTAAGAAAGAGAATTCATTGATAATTTATGGAAATATCTACTATAATCCAACGGAGATGAGTTCCCCCCCCCCCCCTCTTCTTCTTCCAGGGTTTTGTGCATCAATAGATAATCAAGGCCTTCTAGCAGGCTGAGCTCACCATTACCTCGGGCAAAAGAATTCCTGAAAGCCGTGCCTTCGGGGCACCTGAATTATATACTCCATTAGGAGGGGGGGAAAGCTTTCTGCATTCCATGTATAACGCTCCCCAGAACCTTTCCTGTTTATTTCTGCTGTATAAAAGCAGAGACATTAGGAAAAAAATCTTTCTCCCCCCCCCCATCTCCCTCCCTCCCTCCCTCCTGGTTCCCCCCCCCTTCCCTTCCCTTCCTTAAAGGGAAGACTTACGTAGATACAATGGAGAAAACCTTTCAAGCCAAAGCTGGATCGACTGCCTTCAATCCCAGGCAGTGACCTATCCCAAATAAAAGGTTTCTGTTACATCATTAGCTCGAGCCAAAAAAAACAGCCCCGGCGCATTAAGGGTTTGTCCTTCCTACTGTTTTTTAAGGCAAATACAGCTACTTGGGGCTTCCATCTGGGAGGGGAATTACACTGGCCGGGCTGTAACCTAAGACCCGGTTTTCATTGGAAGCAAATGCTTTTCAATCCCGGGTAAATACTGGGTGCGTGTCCAAGCTTACAACAATAAACGGGGGGTGGGGGTCCTATCCGAGGGAAGATAAGGGCGAGGGGATGAAACGAATTAATGGAAATGGTGGCGGTCCTTTGGAAGAAATTTGCTTCCCTAGATTTCATGAGGTCGTTGAATCACTTCTGTAAAAAAACAAACAAAATGAAACTCGATGCTATCTAAG